ATATACCCATTTTCCAAACATATCTATAAAACACAGTATACACAGCTTAAACGCACCTGCAGTAAACGCGTCAGCTTGGAGTCTCTGTATGGTACATGTTTTGTTTTACCGTCAACTAGGGCTGATATCACATTTCCCAATGCGGATAGTGATAAATTGATCTTTGTCGCCTCCTTCAACCGCTCTCCGAATGCTCCAGTCTTACACTGCCTTTCGGAACCGGCTAAGTCGACCAGATTCAGTTTACCCCTACGTATTCCTCCGATAACTGGTGTCCTTGGCGAGTCGCCCACTGTCGATGATTCCTGAATTTGCTCCAGACTTATTGTGAATATTGTGTGAGATCGAGAGCTCTTCTCGTTCATTAATGTTGCGGCTGTTATTCGATTTTTGTTGCCGACATTTAGCCAGTTGTAACAATCGGTTGCATTCATCACAGCTTGACTAGTTAACGTTGGTACTGTAACACCCACGCCTGGTATATCCTTCAGCACATGATTCCTTATCCCAATCGATTCATTCGCACTTAACAGATCTCTTATATTCTCATTATAAATCTCCAAATAGCTCACTAAAGCCAAATACCTAACGCTCGTTGCTATTGAGATCGTTTCAAATATATGATCGAAGCATCTCTGTATGATGCCGCAGCTATCGACGGCTCCCGAATATCCTTCACCCTGATGAATTACAAAAGCGTTGAAAAGTAAGAGAGGGAGTGCAGGAGAGAAATATGTTCTTATAGAGTAAAGTTACCTGCATAGTGTGTGTTTTACCACATCCAGTCTGGCCATACGCAAATATGGTTCCATTGTAGCCCTCCAAAGTGCTCTCCACCAAAGAGTAGCACATATCGTTGTAGATCTTGTCCGTCTTTGAGAGACCATCATACACGCTGTCGAACTGAAATATTTTTTTCGGTGCACTGCGAACCAAGGGATTTACAACTGCAACAGTGTAGTCTCCAGTCTCTAAAATAGTCTTTACAAATTGAAAAAAGTATTAATTTTTCGAGTAGCTAACCTTCTTTATAGACACAATAGATCTATAACTTATATCAGGGACCGTAATGATTATAATTTTTATAGTAAAAATTAACAAAAATAAGAATTATTTTTTGATTAATTATAAAAAATATTTTTTAAATTATTATTTATATTAAATAATTTATATGATAATAATTAAAAATAATTATTACAGATAAATTTGTATACAACAAGTAAGAACAAGCTATAGTCGAGCCTGCCCGACTACGAGATCCCCTGAACCCTTCGAGCAACTGATATTTCAATAATTAATCGCACATGCATACACACACGCACACACACAGCCATACGCACGCACGCACAAACACGCCTTGGCTGCAGTGGTGGCTGACTATGGGAACTTAATTGTTGTGGATGTACTTTTTTCATGAAACTTTCAGATTATGAATATAACATAGATATGCAAAGCATAAGTCTCTAGTATTTGAAATACAAATATGAGGGTGAGGGGGTGAATTAGGGGTGGGGGGTAAATTTTGACAAAAACCGGAATTGTATAAAATTCATATAACATTTGGAGAGTCTAATTTGAAAGATGTAGGAGATACATATAAATTTATTACTGTTACTCGATCATGTTTTTAACTGATAACAAAATAACGGGGCAAGTTATCAATATTTAAAGCAAAACTCGATATGCGCGTGCTATACACGGACCTAGGAAAAAAAATTTCAAGTCTCTAACTCTTATATCTTCTCGATCGACGCGTTCAAACATACGGACAGACGGACAGATGGTCAGACGGTCAGACAGACAGACGGAGAGGGCCAAATCGACTCAGCTCGCCGCCCTGATCAAGAATATATATACTTTATGGAGTCTGCCACGCCTCCTTCTGTCTGTTACATACATTTAACAAAACCATTATACCCTGATTTCCCATTGAAAATGGGTTCAGGGTATAAAAATGCCGCGTCCTAGCAAATCTAATTTTCCCATCGGACCCGTAATGCAATTAGGCAACGGAATATCGCGAGTCAATTATCTGACGAAGAGCGAGAAATCGCCCGAGCAGAGCGCCGCTTTAGTATGCAGCAAAGAAGGGCCGTAATTCGAAGAAAGGTTGCTCGTGAAACGGCAATAAGAAATGGTTCCAGTATTGATTTGAATCGAACAGCGTTTCGATATGATTGCACCATTGACTACACCTTGCATCGTTTAGTTTGAATTGGTTCAATGGACGTTGTTTGCCAGCATTGTGGCCCATTGAAGTTTGCTGGTGAAACGCCCCTGCCTTTGTTGTAAAGTGGCATTACCATTGTTGGTCCTGCCACCAGAGTCATGGCGTTCCCTGCTTTATGGCGAAACACTAGAATCGCGACATTTTCTAGCGAACACTGTGAACGTGATTAATAAATATACGTGTTTTTTTTAGTACGTATAAAAGGTGAGGCAAATAATGAGCAATCGAATACAATATTACGTTACTGTTAATCACCAAACAGTTTTTCAACTTGATTAATTTATGTTTGATTAGCAGACAACAATGCCACGGAAACGCAAGGGGGCTAAATTGAGTCGTCGAACACTGAAATCTAGAGGCATGCAGGATAGAAGAGCACAAAGATCAGATCAAGAGAGGCAACAAAGCAATGCAGATGTCCGTGTAAGCATGGCGCAGTTACAATTGGAAGAGGCACGAGATGAGCGAAGCCAGCAAAGACAATTAGAACGAAGAGAAGCGCGCAGATTCGTAGTCAACAGCCGTAGAGGAATTGACCGACAACGTCAACAAGTAAATCGAGCACTTACAGCACATTCCAAAGTGGTCATTGGTACATTGGACAAAGAATACCCGCACTGCCATGCCCTTAAATTTAAAAATGAGCCGATCGGGGTGGTGCTCCTCAGGAAAAGAAAAACTCCCAGAAATTGAAACAGCGCCGGAACCATTGCACGGCTTCCTTATCCAGATTCTTTGCTGTTCTTGCAGTCAATGCGAAAATTCAATTCTTGTTTTCAAATGGCATCGTTTGGAGCAACGGAAATAGTTAAAAATACTGCTGCAAATGGTCAACAATTTAATCCCACATTCAAAGTCAAAGGCCAAGTTTACCACAAAGTCGGTTAACAATTGGTAGCCAAATGAACCTTATAAATTTGTACAAATTTACTTTATGGGTGGCGAGGACTCCGAACGGGCACTCGCCATCGCGTGGATGCCCGTTGCAACTATAATCACCTCAATTCACCTTTTGCAACGCGCTGACAGTTCCGAAATTAAATTTTAATTAATTTTAAGATATATTCTGCTATTCGGGGCGGAGACAAATCCAACAAATCAAAACCATGAAAATTGGTCCAGCAGATCTCGAGTTATAAGTGTTGTAACAAACCCGACTTTGTTTTATATATAGAGACTGTTAGGCGGTACGAAGTTCGCCGGGTCAACTAGTATATATATATTGTCTTTTTTTTTTTATACCCTGAACCCATTTTTAATGGGAAATCAGGGTATAATGGTTTTGTTGAAATGTATGTAACAGGCAGAAGGAGGCGTGGCAGACCCCACAAAGTATATATATTCTTGATCAGGGCGACGAGCTGAGTCGATTTGGCCCAGTCCGTCTGTCTGTCTGTCCGTCTGTCCGTATGTTTGAACGCGTCGATTTCCGAAGATATAAGAGCTAGAGACTTCAATTTTTTTTAAATGACCGTATATACAGCGCGGACGTCGAGTTTGCTTTTAAAATTCGATAAATCATCCCGTTATGTTTTTATCGAGTAAAAACATTCAGGTTCAAGTCAGATGCCACTATAGCTAATTGTGAATGATTTTTCTTTTTTTTTAAACAAATATTCAATATAGCATGTAGATCATATGCTGAAAGTTTCATTAAATTCCGTTCAGTCAAAAATTAATAAAAAATAATCAAATATTTGGCCAATTAACAAACGCACGTGCAGCAGCTACAACAGCATCGTATGCGTGTGCACACATACATTCAAACTTCTTCTAGAAACATTCGTTGAATCACATCAGCTGTTAGTTTCGTTTAGTTTTGGTAGATGGCGCAGCAGCAGTGAATCTATTTGAGTTTTGCCAGCGTCACTATCAGGAGTGGGGTGGCCTAGTGTGTTAGCTGTATGACGCTCGATCGAGAAGTTGTGGCTCGAATCCCGATCGGTGCAACTTACGTTAACTTTTTTAATTGTTTCAAAATATTTTTATATTTTATTAAATGAGTTTGGTAATTTATTTATATTTTTAAATACATCGAAATTGAAATTTTAGCCATACTAAATGGGCATTTTTAATTGTTGGGTTCAGGGTAGTATCTAGTCGAGCACTCTCGACTAGAGTTTTCTTACTTGTTTTTTTTTTAAGTATTCCTAATATTTTAAATATATTACCAAATTTTTAATAATTCATCAAAAAGAAATAATTAAATGCAAAAATATAATTACAATTTGTAGTCATGTAACGTACATCACATTTGCTGTCGATTTCCTTTTGATTCAATGGCCGACAGCGAACAATCACCTTTACATTTTCACCCATTACTCTTTATTTATTTGCTGTCGATACCTTTTTGTAGGACTCTGTTTTTGTTTATTACCGCTAATGTGGAGTAGACGGTCGATACTAACTGGCTATTGATTGCAATACTTTGAACTTCAACCAATATTTTGATACCCGTACACAAAGTGTAAAATGAGTATATTCGTTCGCTCGTACCGCGATCTTCTTATTTGGGAAACTCTTATGTCGGTAAATTAAGAAACTATAATTAATTAAAATATAATATATATATATATATCTATATATATATATATATGGAATATATATATTGATATATATATGGAATATTGAGATATACGCCGTGTATTTGAAAAGGTTTCCTTCCCCCCCCAACTTAGAACAAGCATCGATTTTAATCGGTGCTTCGATAATAATGGCTTAGTCAACCTTCTGCCTGAACGAGTGGGTAGAGCTTTAGCGCATGCTCTTTGCAAATGCATGTAAAGGCTCGAAGCCATGTGAAAGCTTGGTAAATATAAACTAGTTGTGGCAGTCGTGGGTACACATATAGAATTCTCGTTGCTCAAACTATATATGTATGTACAAATATACAATAGAAATATATTCGCGTATATAAGCATATATTTTATTGATCCCGTTTATGAAATACAGCGCATTTCTTTTAAATAAATGCAATCGAAATCAGAGGGCATACTAAACAATATGCAATATGTATTATAGTATGTGCGTGTACAATTTGAGCGACTGTTGTTCTTGTTGCAAGCGATTGCGGTCATTGAAACGTGGCACACCAGCGTCAAAGGAGACAATACGATGGAAGCGCTCCTTCGGACTGTATACCATCGTGCACTTGGCTTTGTTTTCCATGGTTCTGGTAGCAAATGCCTTGCCACCTGTAATACGAGTCGGTAGGTTCACGTTAATTTGTTAGGGTATTTGATTATTTTGGAATTGGTAACTTCATTTATGAATTTACTTTTATTCACCGAATTAAAATTTAATAATAAGCCAATATTTTGTTAATATCTTCTTTTTATATCCTGAACCCATTGAAAATGGGAAATCAGGGTATAATGGTTTTGTGAAAAGTATGTAACAGGCAGAAGGAGGCGTGGCTGACACCACAGAGCATATATATTCTTGATCAGCTCGACGAGCTGAGTCGATTTGGCCTTGTTCGTCTGTCTGTCCGTTCGTCTGTCCGTATGTATGAACGCGTCGATTTCAGAAGATGTAAGAGCTAGAGACTTCAAAATGTTCGTATATACAGCGCGGATATCAAGTTTATCACAAAAAAACGATAACTCAGCCCGTTATTTTTTATCGATAAAAAACCGTATCGAAAATCATTTATAAAATTATATTTCCTACATCTTTAAAGCTAGAGTCCAAATTTTATATGTATACTTATATGCATTTTATACATTTTCGATTTTTGTCAAAATTTACCCCCCCACCCCTAATTCACCCCCTCACCCTCACATTTGTATTTCAAATACTAGAGACTTATGCTTTGCATATCTATGTTATATTCATAATCTGAAAGTTTCATGAAAAAAGTACATTCACAAGAAAAGTTATTGAACAGTTAAGTTCCCATAGTAAGCCACCACTGCAGCCAAGGCGTGCTTGTGTGTGCAAATATCAGTTGCTCGAAGGGTTCAGGGGATCTCGTAGTCAGGCAGTCTCGACTAGAGCGTTCTTACTTGTTATTAATTTGAATGCATATTTGAATGGGTGCGTTTTTAAATTATCATTGCAATAAGTTTTTAAAATGTGACCAAATCATATAAAGTTAATCATATCAAACATCACTATAATTTATTATACTCATTCACGAAACTGAATTAGTATATTGGTTTTGTGCAATGTCCGTCTTACTGTCCGTCCGCGCTAGAAAGCTGAAATTTGGAATGTAGATCCGCATCGACTACCCATGATTACGAGCTATGGCGAATATATCTACGCCCATTGGGGGCGTGGCAAATCGGATAATACTGTATCTCCTAGAGTTTTAAAGCTAAAAGAATAAATTATATGTCTACGCCCTTTAGGGGCGTGGCAAATCGGACCTGAAGATACAGTGATTTTTCAATTCTGCTATATGTATTTTGGACACTATTAATGCTAGAGACCTCAAATTTGGTATATATACTCGGGCAGCGCACCCAAGACCAAAATGCTTCGACGGATATATGTCCGCCCAAAGGGGGCGTGGCAAACCGAAAATGTGCATATCTCCTAAAGTATAATAGCTAGAAAGCAAATTTGTATAGTTGAGTTACTAGTAAGCTCCTCTATCGATGATCCAAAAATAATTTTTACGCCGTAAGCGTAAGCATTCAAATTTTGTAGTTAGTGTACCGTTAGCTTGTTCTAAAAAGTGACCAAATATGAGGTGTCTTCGCTCAGTAGGGGCGTGGCAAATCGGGAATCATATTTTCTACAGTATTAGAGCGAAACTTAGCTACTAAATTGTTGATGGGATGTGAATGAGTATTCCGCTGTCGGTAACGCCCGACTGCAACGTTCTTACTTGTTTTAAATAGTTTTTTTGTATTTTAACTGACAACGTGATAATATCATTGTTCCTCAATTGTCGCAAATTTTAGGTGCAATTTTTACGGAGGACGAACGAGAAGGTAGTGTCGAATCGGCCTTTAAATATGCGATTTATCGCATAAATAAAGAAAAAATACTTCTGCCCAATACACAGCTGGTGTATGATATCGAATACGTGCCCCGCGATGATTCTTTTCGGACTACGAAGAAGGTCTGTCGGCAATTGGAAGCTGGTGTTCAGGCCATATTCGGTCCAAGCGATCCATTGCTAGCGAGTCATGTGCAATCAATTTGCGAAGCATTCGATATACCTCACATTGAAGCTCGCATCGATCTAGAAGTTAGTGTCAAAGAATTCTCGATTAACCTATATCCTTCTCAAAACATCATGAATTTGGCCTACCGTGATCTAATGATGTATCTCAACTGGACTAAAGTCGCTATTATTTACGAAGAAGATTACGGTAAATAACAATCTTATTCATATATAAACATGAGAACATTTGCTAAATACGGTAAATATCCGAATGTTTTCGAAATTTTTATATCTTAGTTTTATATTTTTGCAGGACTTTTCAAACAACAGGACCTTATTCATTCATCCGCAGAGATGAGAACCGAAATGTATATAAGGCAAGCAAATCCGGAGACTTATCGTCAAGTTTTACGTGCAATACGCCAAAAGGAAATTTACAAAATAATAGTTGACACAAATCCAACTAATATCAAAAAATTTTTTCGATCAGTACGAAAGATTATTCTATCTATTATTTGCTTTTGTATATACTGTTATTATTCTAGTACATATATGTGTGTTCTATGAGTAGATGCTGCTATAAACTATTTTAAACTAAATTTTGCCATAATTGAGCTTCCAAATGACATGACATTTTATCAGATTCATTTGAAGACTAGAGCACGGCTCTGCTATTTCCAAAACTTTGTATATTGTTCTTGAAATTGAAATAATTGCTTTTTCTAAAGCCCAATCCTAAATCCCTTGAGGAAACAAATGGAGATATTTCAAAATTAAAATTTTTAAGTTGAAGTGAATTTAAAAGACCTCGGGAAAAATTTAATATATTGTTGTGTGAATCCCAAAGTACTTCAGCGACGTTGGTCGTTATATCGTCGAAAATGATCAGTTAATGAAGTCAGTACCTGTCATTTCTCATAGGTTACGGTAGGAAAACGTTCCTACGGAAAGACAGATCAATGATACATAATCTAAATGTGATGCGGCACTCCGGGCTCTGTCTTATGCTAAAAAACAAAAAAGAGTTTTGGATTTTGAAATTGGTAAAACTATTTGTAGCTAGCATATACATGTATATGTGGCATGTCCCATCCTAATAGATTTCGGGAATAATGTTTACATTTTATTATACATTTTAAATCTATGCATGTATATAAATGATTATATATATATATTGATTTACACTCTGCTCTGAACGGTTCTCAATTACAGATTTTGCAGCTGCAAATGAACGACCATCGATATCATTATATGTTTACCACCTTCGTGAGTATCATTAGATCAAGATATCTTAGATCAAGAATTTTGAGTATCTCTGTATCTGTGTCTAGGACTTGGAGACCTATGATCTGGAGGATTTCCGATACAACAGCGTCAATATAACAGCTTTTCGATTAGTTGATGTCGGAAGTAAGCGTTATCAGGATATAATTGATCAGATGCAGAAACTACAGCACAGCGGGCTAGATTTGATCAATGGGGTCCCGTACATACAGGTAAGTTAGGTACAGTTAGGTATTGAAACTCTGTTGTTTGCCACTTGATTAATAATTTTTGATGATTTTTGCATTTTTATAAGAAATGAGACACTTTTATATATTATATTATTATATATAATGTTGGAACCATGTAAAATCAAAACAAATTAATTAATGCCTTATATAGCTTCTTTAATTAAATGTAAGTCAGCAGGGAAGTCATCAGTAGAAACTTTATATGTGTCCTCTGCAGAGTGGGCAGCATTCATGAGTGTATTTTTCGAGGTGTACAGACTAGAAGGCTCCTTTTAGATAGAGTATTATTTAGTTCGTTGCATCAACTTACTTGTTTACCATGTACTATTTCAGACAGAATCTGCGCTGATGTTTGACTCAGTTTACGCCTTTGCCCACGGACTCAAACAACTAGATAGCAGTCACACATTAACCTTTAAGAATCTTTCGTGTAACTCAGACAGAGTTTGGAGTGACGGACTTTCGCTCTATAACTACATAAATTCGGTATGTGAGCAATTTGAGTTATAATTGTCATTTTGTATATTCTGTCGACTTAGCACTGTCCGGCTGTCTGCCCGTCCGTCTGTCCTTATCATAAATCAGTTTTAAAATTATACTTATTGTTTATTTTTATAGAATTTCGGTTTTTGCTTACAGGCAGCAGTTGATGGGTTGACTGGGAAAGTGAACTTCATTGAAGGGCGAAGGAACAAATTTAAAATCGACATACTCAAATTAAAGCAAGAGGTAATACAAAAGGTGGGCTTTTGGCAGCCAGATGTAGGCGTTAATATTTCCGACCCAACGGCATTTTACGACTCCAATATTGCAAATATAACGCTGATTGTAATGACGAGAGAGGTATGTCCAAAATATACGCATACATTTTCAACGTAATATTTACTGTTTGCGAGCTTCAAGGAACGTCCGTATGTCATGGTCAAGGAGGATGCAAACATAACGGGAAACGCTAGATTTGAGGGCTTCTGCATTGATCTACTGAAGGCCATAGCACAACAAGTTGGTTTTCAATATAAAATCGAACTCGTGCCCGATAATATGTATGGGGTGTACATACCAGAAACGAACTCTTGGAATGGCATCGTTCAGGAGTTAATGGAAAGGGCAAGAAGATCTCTATATTTGTATATCAAAATATGCACTTTAATAATAATAACACCTAATCAAATTTATAGCGCGCTGATCTGGCCGTGGCTTCGATGACCATTAACTATGCAAGAGAAAGTGTAATTGACTTTACTAAGCCATTTATGAATCTCGGCATTGGCATTCTATTCAAGGTAATAATCATTTATATCATTCAGGTCCGAAATACTTGCCCAAATTTAATATGTAGCTATTGCTATCAATATACTGTATATGCACGTATGGGCTAGTGTTCCCAATTATGAAGTGAAGAGAATATTGGTTTTATCCGGCATCAAGGTCAAGACTTTCGCGCGTCGGTCGTCTATGGTCTGACACGTGCGAAGGAAAAGAGGACGCTCAGCTGTGAGCGAGTATAATGGAGTCGGTTGCGTCCGACTACAATTTTCTTGTTAGTTATTTTGTCACGTCGCTGGGCAATAATTGCATATATGTTTTGTACATAGCTATACATATGTATACAAATTTATATATATTTTTATTTTCTTGAAGTTTAGCTTTTCATTATATTGATTAAAGGCCCTTGATCACTATCCTTAGGTGCCAACCAGTCAACCCACACGACTGTTTTCCTTTATGAACCCATTGGCAATCGAGATATGGTTGTATGTGCTAGCTGCTTATATATTAGTATCATTCGCGCTATTTGTGATGGCTCGATTTTCACCATATGAATGGAAAAATCCGCATCCATGCTATAGGGATACTGATATCGTTGAGAATCAATTTTCGATATCAAACAGTTTTTGGTTCATAACGGGAACGTTCTTAAGGCAAGGATCTGGACTGAACCCGAAGGTAAGCATTGTACTTGCATATATCTACATATGTATATATTAATAATTGTATTCCCCTGTCCTCAATGGGTCAATGTATTGAAATAATGGTTTCTTTACTCTTATATATTTAATTTAAGTTACATTATCCATTTGCAGATTTCAGATCGTGCACAAACCAAGTTTTTCTCATTTATGAATCCGCTCGCTATCGAAATCTGGTTTTATATAGCATTTGGGTACATTCTAGTATCCATGTGTATCTGGATAGTAGCACGACTATCGCCAATGGAGTGGGTACGATCGAAGCCCGCTTGCACCATGGCCTGTGATCATATGCTACGGAAAATTCGTAAAGCGAATAATGCTTATGACCATTTCGAACTAAAATTCATTGAAAACCCTACCAATAATGGAACACATAAAAACGATGATAAAAATGATGCTAACGATGTCATTGATGTCGATCTTGGCGATAACTCAGATTCTGATGATACTTTGGAACTAGAGACCGTACAGAATAGTTTCACACTGAAAAATAGCTTTTGGTTTGCAATCGGCGCTCTTATGCAGCAAGGGGCCGATCTCTATCCCAGGGTATGAATATCACCAACTACTAACTACCATCTGCCCCATCCATATTACATAGTTTAGAAGCGCAGTATTGCAAAAATGTACATCGTTGCCCATGTAGAATCAGGTTCAAAGATATGCTTCAACCTAAAGCCTACAAAGTATGGCAACGTAAGGTCTTGTGGGATTTGCTAGAAGTAATCGAGATGAATGCAGAATTAGAAGGCTCAATATGATATGGGTAGCGCCTTTATTACATATCCGTCTTCAGTGTTTATTTTGTTGGAATCGGATCACATAATACTCTCTATGTGTACTCCCTATATATATTCGGATTTGGAAACTACTTCAGTCGTGTGACAACAATTTTTGTTATGTATTTTTTAGCCTTGAGCTGGATTCTACTGTAAAGTAGACATAAGTAACTGTCTTTCCGGTACATCGACATTCGGATAACACAATAGTTCAAATCGTTCAAATCATTCAGTTAATTGTGCATATGTTATATCTTGCCCTTTTGTAATGTTTCAGGCAACATCGACACGCATTGTTGGCGGCTGCTGGTTTTTCTTCTGTTTGATCATAATCTCGTCATACACTGCAAATTTAGCTGCATTTTTGACAGTCGAACGAATGATAACACCAATCGAGAGTGCCGCTGATTTGGCCGACCAAACGGAAATTCAGTATGGCACTTTGGAGGGCGGATCAACAATGACGTTCTTCAGGGTGAATATTCATATATACATATATCACTTTATATTGGGTAGTCTAAAAAGTCTTTTCGTATTTGTAATGAAACTTCAAATCATATTTTTAAATATTTATAATAAACTTTATTAAATCAAATATGCACCATTTTGGTCGACCACCTTTTGCCATTTTTCCACTAGAGACATAATTCCATTCGTGTAAAACTTTCGTGGTTTCTCTTTGAAAAACTGCTTCAAGTGATTTTCACAGGCTTCTCTTGAAGCCAACTTTACTCCGTTAAGGGAGTTCTGCATTGACCGAAATAAATGGTAGTCCGAAGGTGCAAGGTCAGGGCTATATGGTGGATGCATTAAAACTTCCCAGCCAAGCTCTCTCAGTGTTTGCCGGGTCATCAAAGATGTGTGTGGTCTGGCGTTGTCCTGATGGAATACGATGCCCTTTCTGTTGATCAGTTCTGGCCGTTTTTTTCGATTGCTTGCTTCAATCTCATCAGTTGTCCACAGTAAAGTGTCGAATCAATCGTTTGACCAGGCTGAAGCAGCTCATAGTGGATTATTCCTTTCCAATCCCACCAAACACACAGCATTACCTTTCGAGCCGTCAATCCTGGCTTTGCGACCATTTGTTGAGCTTCACCACTCTTGCACCATGATCTTTTTCGCACATTATTGTCGTATTTGATCCATTTTTCGTCTCCTGTTACCATTCTCTTCAGAAATGGTTCGATTTCATTTCGTTTCAGCAAAGAATCGCAAATGTTAATTCTGTCCAATAAATTTTTCACAGACAATTCATGTGGTATCCATACATCGAGCTTTTTTTTGTAGCCAGCCTTTTCTAAATGGTTCAGAACCGTTTGATGATGAATGTTTAGTTCATTTGCGATGTCATGGCTGCTTATGTGACGGTCTTGGTCAATCCTTTCCATAATTTCATCGACTTTTTCAAAGATTGGTCGACCAGAGCGAGGTGCATCTTTCACATCGAAATTTCCTGAACGGAAGCGTGCGAACCATTGTTGTGCTACACGAACTGATAGAGCATCGTCACCGTAAACATCACAAATTTCATTAGTGGCTTGCGTGGCATTCTTCCCTTTTTTATACAAAAATTTCAAAATATAGCGAATTTCTTCTTTATTTTCACTCATTTTTGAACAGCTGTAACTTTTTTCAAATTCTTTGAATTACATTTTTTTTTTTTGGCAATCGAAGCTTAAAGTGCTACCAATCGAACACCACAATGTGTACACAATGTGATTGGTAGCACTGGAGATATACGACGCCAACGACATCTATTGGCAAAATACGAAAAAACTTTTTAGACTACCCAATATATTCAGTTAGGATTATACATTTGGTCCAGATAATATTCCTTGCACTTAAGGCATAACATGCATTTTGAGCATGATGGCATATGCATACTAAACAGTTCCATTTTTAACGACAATCCGTTTATCCCGACGATATTTTTAATATTTTTCAGTCATTTACCGGCTATTACGACGTGCCGGAAAAAAGTGAAATAATGACAAAAGTTTTATGCATTAAAAGACGTTGCTAGAAAAGTATATACATATGTATGTATTTATCAATTATCAGTACCCTTACTTGTGTGCGTAGCAGCGACACAAATGCTGCTAAGATAGATAGATAGATAGAGAGAGAGAGAGAGAGAGAGAGAGAGAGAGAGAGAGAGAGATAGAGATAGATAGAGAGATAGATAGAGAGAGAGAGAGAGACAGGCAGAGAGAGACAGAGAGAGAGAGACAGGCTGAGACAGACAGAGAGAGACAGAGAGAGACAGAGAGAGAGAGAGACAGAGAGAGAGAGAGAGAGAGAGAGAGTGAGAGAGAGAGAGATAGATAGAGAGATAGATAGAGAGAGAGAGACAGGCAGAGACAGACAGAGAGAGACAGAGAGAGAGAGAGAGACAGAGAGAGAGACAGAGAGAGAGAGAGAGAGAGAGAGAGAGAGAGTCCGTCTGTGTGTATGAACGCAGTTTAGTTTGACGCTATTAAAGCTAAAAACTTGAAACTTGGAACACAATCTTCGATTCTTCGATTTATAAAGTGTTAAGATTTTCCCGATCCTCCCACCAAGATCAAAAGCTATGGCGGAAAAAACTGTATATTCAAGAATTTTAACACTAGAAAGTAAAAATTTTGCACGTGAGCTAATGTTAAAATTCTATAAAGATTTATGAAATTATTATATGTCTACGCCCAGTAGGGGCGTGGCAAATCGGGAAAAACACAATTTTCTACATTATTTGAGCAATACTTAGCTACTAAATTACTGATGAGATGTGAATGAATTGTGTTTTTGCTCTTTCTGGTTTAAGCGTCCCCCGGGTATAGCGACGTACAATCTTCGGTCCCTTGAGCGTAGTTATAACGATTCGTTTTTATTTTAAGGATTAAAGATTTTGTTATTAACTTTATATAATTTCTATACTAATCCACCTCCAAATCCACCGCGTTTCCACAAAATATGCAAAATGCGTACTTCAAATATAAGAAACTTGTGCTTTAACAAATGTAAACATTTCAATTTTATTATTTCATTAATATGACGTTCTGAAAGTTTTATAAAGATAGTTATTCTGCAAAAACGTTTTTTTTTTTCAACTGCCAATTTCGGGAAAAATTGTAATCTAAAATCAAATCAGCATTATTTAAAGTGTCTCCAAAGTACTTTAATATTATTGGCACAAACAGTTCGTACACTGCCGAGGAGAAAATTGATTTTATTGAGTCAATTTTCGAATAATAATATAATTCATAGCAAGTAAAAAAGTTCTAGTCGAAACTGCTCGACTACGAGATCCCCTGAACCCTCCAAGCAACTGATATTTCAATAAATTCGTATATGCACACACAGACACACACACGCATACACACACACATACACGCACACAAGCACCCACGCCTAAGCACGCATGGGCTGCAGTGTGCGCTTACTATGAGAACTTAATTGTTTAATTACTTTCTTTTGTGGACATACGATCTTCATGAAACTTTGAGATTATGATTATAATATGGATATGCATGTATTTGTCAAAGCACAAGTCTCTAGTATTTTAGATACGCCTTTTTCAAATATTTGAGAGGTGGGGGGTAATTTTTAGCAAAAACCGAAATTGTATAAAATACATATAAGTCTACATTTATAATTTGGAAGCTCTAAAGGAGTAGGAGATATAATTAAATAACTAGCTTTCGATACGGATTTTAATCGATAATAAAATATCGGGAAAAACTCGATATGCGCGTGTCTCTAGCTCTTATATCTTCTGAGATCGACACGTTCATACATACGTACGGACAGACGGACAGGGCCAAATCGACTCAGCTCGTCGCCCTGATCAGAAATGTATATACAGTCGACTCTTGTTATTGCATAATTTTATGCACTCAGTAATTCGAACTAAAAAATCATTGCTAAGACGCGGTAATTCGTACTCATATGGTTAAACACTCGACAATTCGAATTTGTGAAGTTTCTTGGTGTGTTAGTAAGAACTTTGAATTTGAATTTTGGGACTCCCCTGAAACTAACTATACTGTGCGTGGTTGTGTGTTACGCATAAAACATGGGGACATTTTGATACTCGCTTCCGCACGAATCGCTTCGTTAGTACACATATTAAAATTTTTTATTAAATGAGTCCTAAAAAGTATAAAAGTTTGACGATTGCTGAAAAGAAGAAACTTATTGGAAAAGTAGAAGGAGGTGAGAAGAAAAGCCAAGTTGCAAAAGACTATGTTCAAGTGGATATTTCAGGATCCCTAACCGATGACGAAATTTTATCTGCGACAGATACGAATGAAAAGAGCATCGATGAAGATGAAGGCGATACATCAGAACCTTTGGCAACGGTGTCAGTTAAGGTAGCAAGAGCCTCATTGGATAACTTACAAAGCTTTTGTCTACAAAACGAAACTGATGAAACAGCATATCAGGCACTTTTTGTCTTTAAAAAAATTATTGAAAAGTCTGAGCAGAAGCAATGTGCTTCGAAGCAAACCCGTATAAATGAGTTCTTTATAAAACTTAATTAATTTGAACATATGTACATTACGTTAAATTAAAACCCTTGATAATTCGAAGTTTTATTTATTTTCTCTTAAAATTTCGAACCATTTAATATTTCAAACATTCGATAATTCGAAATATTTTAAGAGTCCCTTGAATTTCGAAATAACGAGAGTCGACTGTACTTTGTGGGGTCTGCCACGCCTCCTTCTGCCTGTTTTATACTTTTAACAAAACGTTTTACCCTGATTTCCCATTTTCAATGGGTTCAGGGTATAATCAAGTCTCTAGCTCTTATATCTTCTTAGATCAACGAGTTCATACATACGGGCATACGGAGGGGCAGACTGACGGACCGGGCTAAATCGACTCAGCTCGACGCCCTGATCAAGAATATATATACTTTTATACCTTAAAAACTGCAATGGCTACATATCAGGCAATTCTTGAACTTGATCTAGCCGCTTCTCTGGTTAGTGCCGCTTCTAGCAGCCTTGATGGGGTAATTTTGGATTTTCTTGCCCGGAAAAGTTGACAGCACTGCTCATGTGGCGTATGCTAGTATGTGCGTGCGTATGTGTGCATTATCAGTCTTGACTAAAGCTTTCTTACAACTTTTAATTACTAGTGTATATATTTGCATACATACATATGAATACAAGAATATTTTTGCATGGCTAAGTCGGGCTTACTGAAGAACTTATTCCAATTTTCTTGTTATGCTGTTGTTATATGAAATTTTAATATCAATTTAAATTGTGTAGAAAAGACTTTTATCGATGTATTGCATTTATCTAACAGGACTCGAAAATTGGGATATACCAAAAAATGTGGCGATACATGGAAAACCGGAAGACCTCCGTATTTGTGAAAACGTACGAGGATGGCATCAAGCGAGTGATGGAGGGCAATTATGCTTTTCTAATGGAGTCAACAATGTTGGACTACGCAGTTCAGCGAGATTGTAATTTAACTCAAATAGGAGGGCTGCTTGACTCGAAAGGCTATGGCATTGCAACGCCAAAGGGCTCCCCATGGCGGGATAAAATCTCATTAGCTATATTGGAACTGCAAGAGAAAGGCATTATTCAAATACTCTATGACAAATGGTGGAAAAATACGGGCGATGTCTGTAACAGAGATGATAAAAGCAAGGAATCGAAAGCAAATGCATTAGGTGTCGAAAATATTGGTACGTATGTATTTGTCTGTATACATATTACGTATTAAAAAAAAAAACAAAAAAAACAAGAGAAACAAGTAATAAAGCTCTAGTCGAGACTGCTCGACTACGAGATCCCCTGAACCCTTCGAGCAATAGCTATTTCAACCATTTTTCGCGTCTTTCTGCTTACACAAGAAACACACACACGCACAGGCACACATAGGCACACACGTATGTATAAACTAGCATGGGCTGCAGTGTGGGCTTATTATGGGAACTTAATTGCTAAATAAATTTTCTTGTGGATGGACTTTCTTTTAGATTGTGATTGTATCATTAAAATACGTGCATTTGCCAACGCACAACGCCTTTTTCAAATTTATGGATGAGGTGCTGTTCAAGGTTCTAGCACATACATAAATATGTATATATTCTGAGATAGACGCGCTCAAACATACGGACTGTCGGACAGACGGACGGACAGGGCTAAATCGGCTCAGCTCGTTGCCCTGGTTATGAATATATATACTCTATGGGGTCTGCCACGCCTCCTTCTGCCTGTTACATACATTTCAACAAAACCATTATACCCTGATTTCCAGGTACAGGTATTTATGATCAGAGTAGACCGACCCTCCTACACTGCAACTCTACACATACATATATAACATTTATTTGTATATATGTATATTTTCATGTGTATTTATGACTCTAGTTCCAAAGTATATATGCATACATATACACATAAATTTATATGTTTTTTGATATCTCACATATATTTGTTGTTACTTTTTAGGCGGTGTTTTCGTTGTTCTACTTTGTGGTTTAGCGCTTGCTGTGGTGGTAGCGATATTCGAATTCTGTTGGAATTCGAAGAAAAATTTGCATACAGACAATCAATCGTTATGCTCGGAAATGGCCGAAGAGCTGCGCTTCGCTATGCACTGCCAGGGATCAAAGTCTAAGCAAAGGCCGGCACTGAAACGTGACTGTCTCAAGTGTGCTCCAGGGTCTACTTATGTGCCAACTAATGTAACAATGCCGAACATGGGCGTTCATTATAACTATTTTAATTGAGACAGATACGGAAAATAAAGATTAAGGCTTTTAAAGTAAAGTTTTGTGTACTTACATTTACATAAATACATGTGTATCTACTTTAGGGAAATCTCCTTTTGTATTGAGACTAAAATCGAAAATAAATATATATACATATATCATATTTGGCCGTTACATATTTTGAGTGGATCTAATTTTTGATTCCAGATCATATATTGAAATATCGTCTTACTTTTCCCGCTTTCGAAATTTTGAATTGTCCTGTAAGGTTAGTATATACATATATATATATATTACATATATATATTATATATACATAGTTTTACAATAGCAAGGCTCCCAAGTAAGAGTGTTTGTTGCATGTTAAATATTAAATATCACAAATACATACATATCGGATCTGCAAACTACTTTTTGGGATACTATATGCCCCATATCCGCACTCAAGTGAGCGTATCGAGAAAACAGAAATATCCACTTTTTTTTGTTTTACAATTTTTAAGTATATTGCAAATTGTTTTCAGGTTCACAGTCAGCATGTTGAAGTCTTTCTTTCCTCTTCCTAAAATATGAATCACAAAAGCTGCCGTAAATTTGTACATATTCGATATTTTTATTTTTGTTAAGTGCGTGTACATTTAATTAATTGTGCTAAGCAGACTTAATATTCTACGATGCTAAAACAGAAGGCAATATTACCGTTTATTCTTTTTATGGGACTTACTAATTTTACGTCTCTTTAAAATCATGTCGTATAAAGCATCCAATCCTTCTTGCAGCCCTTCGCCAGTTATAGCACAAGCCGGCTGTATGTACCAACCCTTGACATTTAAATTAGGGTGTTTAACTGTGAGTTGCTGTTGTGGATTGTTCAGCGCGGCTGGTGAACTGGAGCCCTTGCATTTAGAATCCGCGTGGGAGGAAGTGCTTTTAGAATCAAGCTGGAAATTATCTTTACTTCTTACGTGACTATTATCAGTGTCCTTATTTACATCAGTTAGTGAAGTTGTGCCATGATCAGTATAGCTTTGGTTTGATGTGGCAAAGCCTGCAATGTTGCCAGTTGAAGTCGAGGTGGATGTACTTGATAGATTCAATATTGGATAGTGTAACTCATGTAACCCTAAAAGATTCTCAAGTTGCTTGGGACAGCATGCACTTGGTAGATCCTGTTTATTCGCCAAAATCAGCACAGGAACACCCTAAAATCAATTAAATTAAATTAAATTAATTAAGCTTCAAATCAAATACAGACCTGGTTATCAGGACATTTGGCTGTACGCATTAATTCCATTTTTGCCTCTTCCATACGTTCCGTATCAACCGAATCCACAACGAATAGAATACCATCAGTGCAGCTAGATAATTATTCAATATTGATTTAAAGTACAAATATAATATAATAAATTGATTGAAGCGTTTACATTTTAACCGAGTATATATATATATATATACACAACTGTATGTGCGTATGCACTTTGATAGTAAACATCTGTTTTACCTACCGAGTGTAACTCCGCCAAAGCGGCCGAAGCTTTTCTTGTCCGCCCACATCCCAAACGAGAAAGTGAACTCCCTTCGCTTTGCCCAAGGTACCCTGCACCTGCAAACAGCTGAACTTAATTAATTTGACCTTTCTTCCATTTCTCAAATCGTAATGCGTACTTTTTCGCAATTAAATCCGATAGTGGGAACTGTGTTTAGATACTGATCGAACTTAAGTCTGTATAATGCTGTTGTTTTCCCAGCAGAATCCAAGCCCAGCATTACAACGTGTAATGTTCCCTGTAATTACATATTTAGCTTAACCATTTGTTAATAGTTGAACGACAGTGTGCGGCTACCTGTGTAGGCAATGCATCCAATAAATTTCCATTTTTTACTATCGTTGCCCCCATTTTTTCTTGTTTTTCTTACATTATTGTTACCACAGTTTTACTTAGGGGTGCTGATTATTGTATCGATATATCAGATCGTAGCAATTTATATTCCTCATCACAAAAATTTGTGTGGAGCTATCGATAAATTGCAATGTAATCGATATTTGTATTTTTCCATATTTTTGCATGTAATATTTCTAAATGGATAAACACAAAAAAAGTTTAAAATAAAATATTAATTTTTTTACTTATATCTAATAATATGTATAGTTTATTTATTTGTTGTAACTATTGGAAACTAATAACAAAAAATGTTAGCAACAGCAAACATCGATTGCTATATGAGTATGCTAGCATACGGATATTAAAGCGAGTTACAGCTGTTAAAGTACACGTAACGGAAATTGTTCTCAGTAGTTTAAAATATATAGTGGTAAAAAAACATTTTTAAAGTAATGTTATATCTGAATGTCTTAATATTGATATATATTTTAACTATTTCTAAATAATTAAATTATTGTTTGAAAAGTTTGCAAAATGCTAGTTTCCTTACTTGTGTGCTAAAAATAAAAGTTCAAGCTCCTTAAAGTATACAGACATATCTTTCATATAGACATATAACTCCATTAATGAAGAGTATGACGACAAGACTCAATGATTCTTTAAATGCTTGATTTAGTATACATATGTAAATTTCTAATAACATAAACATTCGGGGCATACATAGTTTGCGCAGCTGCTTAAAATCGGAGCATGTATAGACATATGTACAAGTGTATATTTGGATAATGTACATACATCAAAATAAAAGTATGTATTTGTACAATTCTGCCATAGATACATATGCACATGTGTATATTTGTACGTACATTTCTTTTTATAGCGGACTGTTCGTATATAAACGTATGTATATATGTATAAATGTATATATCTGTACATATGTACATGAAACATTCATACATAGTTACGTATATATACATATATGTATATACATATACAAAAACTGCATACATATATATTGTTGATGGGAAGGAACTTGGCAGTATTAAAAATAAATAGAATGTGGACACTATGAACAGTGTGTGGACGCGAAACATATTGTGCACTCATATTCTTCAAATCGAACAGAATACACATACACATGCGTGCCTGCATGTGTGTAGATGATATGTAGATTTTATTCATTCGAGGTTATTATTTTAGTCTGGACGGCATTTTAATTTTATTGTTATCTTATACAAGTGTAGACCGATAATTGAATTTTCGATTTTGCAGCGCGCTGTTCTGTTTGCAATTTTTCATTCATAAGAATTGGAAGTGGTAAGCTGAATGAACCATAGCTGTCTTCTCTATATTAAAAAAGTGTCCTTTTTAACTTGTGACTAAAATATTTAAAAAAATATATGCATACAAATAATCAGTGAGTTATGTAATGATTTTGATAATAGAATCTTCATTTAATGTATGCATATGCATAGATATAAATATATATATATTTAATATTTACGTCGTAATTTGAATACTGTTGAAGCTAGATACATATTTTAGGTTTCCCCTGTAGATTTTGCACTGTATGCATATCGAATACAACGCCTTTCCGCAAATACAAAACATGAATTTTAATTTTGCTTTCGAAAATTGATGTATGTATATGTATGCATGTAGAAAGTCCTACTACAAGAGGGTTCATTCTACAATTAAGTTCCCACACTGCAGACCAAACGCAGATTCCGCACCGGAGTTAGCAGAGCGCGTGTTTATGTGTGTTTTCAAGTGGAGTTAAGAATGATTGGATAGAAGCAGATAGCAGAAGGTTTATGAAAAAGAGAAATTGGTAAAAAAAATAGAGCAAAATATAGGTCAGAGCATTCTAATAATAATATTTCTATTGAATTTCTTTTCCATAGATCAACCTACTTTGATTTTACTGAAAATGGATTCTGAAGTCGAGGTAAGTGCAAAACAAAACAATTCTGCAGACATATTCTTAACACTGAAAGTTTCTAATTTAGGCATGTAACATAATTATAATCTGAATCCATTGAAAATACAGATTTATATGTATTTTATAGAATATAGATTATTATTATAATTCGACCACCCCATGTTGTGTTCAGTAACTAATGACTTGTACTTTGACAAATGTACACCTTTGAACGTTATTATCACGTTCTGAGACTTTCATTTACTAAGCAATTAGGTTCCCATAGTAAGCCCACACTGCAGCCCGCTGTGTTCATTCTTGTGTATGCAGAAAATAACAAAATATTGTTAAAATATAAGTTCTTCAAGGGTTCAAGGCCTGCTGCCTTCAATATACGCGCGAGCTTTATAAAAGACTTCGACTTACAGATGGTGATGATGATGGCGGCTATGATGATAATGCTGCTTGCTTTATATGCAGAATGCTTGCTCTTATGCTATACATATATGTATAAATATATATATATGCCATATGTAATTTGTTATTGTTTTTTGTTATTTTAAAAATTAAGACAAGTGCAAATGAAACCAAAAGTGAACAACCGGAAGTTGTTATGGACGATGCAGGTGAAAGAGTCCTGGAAAGGACCGAAGAGAGTGTTGTTGAAAATGACCAGAAAACAACTACAACAACAACAGTCGTTGTAATCAAAAACGAGAACGCTAAACCAGATGAAGAACTTGAAGCAGATCCCCAAACTGAAACAGAAAGCGAAACAACAACTACAACAGTTGGTGTAACCAAGAAGGAGAACGAATCTGCTGATGCTCCAGACAAGGAAAGCGCTTCGGCAACTGCAACGACAACAACAATTGTTGTTGCCAAAAATGAGCCGGATCCAGCTGATGCTTCTGATAAGGAAATCAAGACGTCAGCTACAACAACAACAGTTGTCGTCTCACCCAAAAAAGAAGAGGATATCGAAACAGAGAAGCAAATAACCGTATCAAATCCCAATGCGGATGCCCCAAGCAGCGCCAAAGAAACAGCGAATGAAGCTGCTGCCAAAGACGACTGTGAATTCAGGGAAGGAGTTGTAGTAGTAGAAGAAGCAGAAGAAGAAGAGGGAGAGGCTGAAGAAGAACAAGAAGAAAGTGACGATGATGAAGATGATGACGATGGTGAAGACTTGAAAATCGCGACCAAGACAGAAGAAGTATAAACGATTTTATTTATCTCTAAACATTGTTTACAAAAATTGACGCAAAATGATTTTCGTAAATTGTTTACAAGCATACATAATTGTAGGGTATTCATTTGCTGCATTCATTCAATTTTCAATACTATTCAATTTTGGGCTTGGCTAAACAGCTTGTAAAACTACGGGAAACAACATGCTTACTAAATAATATCCCTTAAATCTAGTCACAAAATCGCTTGTTGTACGGTGTAAAATGTTTGTGCATATATTAAAACCGAGCGGAACTGCTTTATTTATATGGAAGCTATGATTTCTGATCTCACATACACATGTCTTGACTAATAAACATTGTTTTTATCAATAGATTAAAGATGAAAAAGGTCAATCCAATATTCCGGAACAATCGGAAGTGGCTGCTGAATCAACAATAAGTCAGGATGAGAATGCCGTTAAATCAAATGTACGTATACATTATTTAACTAGAGGTAAATACATTAAAAAGAAAAAAAAAACAATGTATACAAGCCAGTTCATATGTAAGTATTATGTACTTATAATATTATATTTATTTTAAAATTCTCTTATACAGTTTTTTGCTGGTCCGTTTTTTTAATAAATTTTTTTTTTGATTATCGTTTTCAGAAGGACATTAATAATCAAATCGAAAACATAATATCTGATATTGACATTAACATTAAAGCTCAGGAGAAAATAGCACAACTTAAGGAACAGGAACTTCAACTAATACAAAAACAGAAAGAGTTGGCCAATCAGATTCAGCAGCAACAATTGTTAGCCCAAAAATTGATTGCGGAAAATCAACTGAAGGAACAGGAACTGCAACGGCAAAAGTATGTGCAACAACAGCCACAGCCACATCCTCAAAGTCCCCGTCAATACACCGAGGAGATAGAGCCCACAATCAAGCAGGATCGATGCAGTACAAACATGTTCCAACGCCAAGAAGATTCAAATAAATTTCAGGTAGGTGACATTATGGCATTTAAAATCAGCTAAATCGTTTCGGATACACGATACCAATTTTTGTAATAATGCAAAAATGTCTATTGCTCACCGTCTAAGAACATTTAATGAAAGCGACCACGAAAGACATAGGATATATCTAGATCTATCTAAAAAGCTAGTACAAAACGTCATAACTTTAAAATAATTCGGTTGGGTTTTTTCTTTCTCAATGTCACGTCCACAAAGGCATCGCCATGCAGCTTTGGTTATTACATTTATTTACTGTATTCATACATATGTATAGGTACCTTTTTGATTTTTACTTGATAGCGCCTCTAATTGATATAAAAATTGATAACTGAACAGATATATTATATATCATATACCCAATGGGGATGGCACTTCATATAATATACCCGCATGTTAAATACTATAGGTATAAGAATATTCTCTCATCTGGCCATTTGCCCAATGATCTCGTACATGAAGAGCACGAAATACGTATATTGAAATCAATTATGTATAGCTACATATTAAGTACATAGGATTATATATGCATGTATTCTCTGAGAGTGTATACATATGTATATTGATATGTGTGTGTATCGCACTATTGGATCTCTATAATTAGCATTTAAGAGAGCTATCTATTCATATATATGTATGTATGTACATATGTACAACTATTTTGCATATACAAAGAAAAATATGTGTGTATGTAAATGGAATGATTCGTCTAGAAAAATACATTTTATTCGCATCAAAGGCGTTTTACGAGTTGAAATTGTTTTCTTTTTGTTGTGGAGAACAATGCAACAAGATTTTCCAAAAACTAATAAGGGCCTAGGCCAAACGTATAATTTAACTGACTTGGATAGATCGAGAAACTGCGTAATCGAAAGGAAAAGAGGGTTTCGACCCAGTGATTGTTACGACGAAAGTAAGAAGCAAATTTTGCTCGAATTAAGCCGGAAACTGTGGAAGAAGCAAAATGTACGTAGACCTTTTTGGATAGATTGGGACAAGATATCTACACTTCATATAAATGCTAGATAGATAGATACAAATTAATCTGCAGATACATCTACATAAAATGAATGATATTTCGAGTTTTAGCCTAGAGAACACAAAAAATATGTATGTGTATGTTATCAAAATATAGGAATCGTGCAACATATCGAGGACAGTTGATTTGCGAAAAATATTTACTCCAGCGACAGATGCGCCACAAATATTGCCCAAGAACCGTAAGTAATTCCGACCAAAAAAAGTCAAAATATGATTTTAAAAGGTGATACGTAAAAATTAAATAAATAAATATCTATATATTATATATCTATATATTATATATATATATATATATATATATATATATATATATATATATATATATATACAATGACCCAATTGAAACGCCTTTCTCGTTCGAGCTATGCTCATTGCTGCAGCAAAACAAACAAAACAATAAGCAAATCAAATACTAACCAAGAATTCAGAAATATAATTTTCCGAGCAAGCTTGATCGGAAAATACCTTGACGCTTGATCTTGTATGAGATCACTCCTCTAATAAAAAACCACGATATTTCGTTATTATTAATCAGATCTAATCATCGTATATATTTATTTACTGTTAACGACAGTGCGCTTATGCATTAATTATATGTATATAAGGAAGTATTATACGTGGAAAGGATTACGTATCGCCTTTTCATCCTATATATATGTTTGTATTTTGCGTCAATCTGTTTGAATTTGCCTTCAATTTGTTCAAAATAGGAAAACTATATGCCTCATCAGCATTTTATTCGCCAACACTGCATCCCACTGTGGAGGACCAAGTTGAGCTTGCTCGCCGAATTTCGCATTCATTGAGCGATATAAGCAATCAAACTTCTAAGGGTCAAACAATGTATGTGAATCGAAAGAAACGCTCAGTTAAATGGGTTCACGAAGGTTGTGGTCAAGGTAAAAACAAAGAATATAGGTATTTGTTGGATGCATGTATATATTATTTATATGTAAAGGTACTTCACAGGTATGTAACTGAAACATCAACACTAGGTAACATTTTCTGAAAATGACTTAAGGTGAAACCTGGAGAGTGTAAATATTTGAACCGACTTTTAAGTTGAAGGATTTCCTCGTTTTTTGTTTTAATCGCATTTTACATTTTAAGCAAATTATTTTATCTATACTATGCGAAATGAGAGGAACCTGAAACTGAATATATTTTTTAAATGCTCGTAATTATTAATAATACATGCATTTCATATGTATGAGTGCAATATATTATGCAGGTTTTCAAAAGCTTTATAGGCTTCTTTAAATTGCAAATGCTCTGCTGCTCTTTTTGGTTTCTCCATCAAAAATTAGTTCTATCTGCATACATGTATGTGTCGGGTAATTGCATTTTTTTCCTGGAAATGGAGGTTGAAAGCCTTCAATCTTTATGTATGGTATTTCGCATATATGGTCTTGAGCCGTCCGTATGAACGCCTAGATCTCAGAAGATATAAGAACTAAAGAAATTAGAAGTTTTGCATGCATACTCGTGTATACCATACGCAGTATGAGTTTTGTATTTTGTCGATAACTAACCCGATTTCTTTTTATCGATTTTATCTATAGATTTATTTCGTTTATTCAATTCAATATTCAATTGGATCGCGAGATTTCAGGTTTACTGTGTATTTACATTTGATAAATACGCAGATTTTGTAATTTACAGACTTTGGATACCACGCCCCCTTCGCCCCAAATTATTCCCTGTTTACAGCGTAGTTATCAGAGCGCGTGCATATATGTGCGTGAGGATGCATGTGTATGAAGGGGTGCATAAAAGATGTGCAGAATGGTCAGAATATCAGTTTACGGGGTTCAGGGTACCTTTTAGTCGAGCAGTCTCGACTAGAGCCATCGTACTTGTAATTTAATTCAAATATAAATACTTTAAATATGACAATATTAAAAAAATCCACAAATCTATGAATGTATACATTTATTTTAATACATTAAATATGTTTGAGTACAATAAGTATAGTATATATTAACCGTCTACTTTTTTATTAATCGCTAAGCTTTAACTAGTTGTTTTATTTAATTTAAATTATTCTCCAGCTTCAGTTAACAGATTTAATTCATAGTATAGTATAACTAATATAATCATTTTCTCCTACTGTAATTTATATGTATATTCAATATATATGTATGTATATATTGTATATATATATATATTGTAAATAGGAGAAGATGAAGATATCATCGAAACGCGCTCTTTAAGCAAAGAAAATGCGGAAGATAATTCGCTGCAGCCGGAACTAATCAAGCTGGATAAAATGCCATTAAAACTAGTCATGAATCCACGTGGACAAATGCGTGACTATAATTCATTAAAAGAATCGATCAACATTGAATCGGGCCTTTTATCGCCCGACAATTGTGCTGAGCTAATCACTGCGTTGCAACTGCATAAAGGTCGAGGTAATTAACTATACAAACATACAGTATTTTTGATATTTTATTATGTATAGGGTTTGCCATTTCCACAAGATGCTTTCCAAAATCAAGGAGACTGACTAAAGTAGATAAAACGAATGGACCTTTATACTGATAAACTCAAGTGAATGTATTCAAAATAGTCTCCTCCGGTCTCGATTCAACGTTTTGAGCGATCTAATAATTTCGGTACTAGCCTTTTAGTTGGCAGGCTTCTGAATAGATTGCAGCCATATCAGGCGAATATAGTGACTCATGATGGCTACTCAAAAAGTCAGTCAGTAAGTGTATTATCGTGCACTAGACGCCAGCGTGATAGAAAATTGTAATGAAATCTCACAATTCTCTTGGAATCTTGGAATGAACACGAATGACCATAAGTTTATGAGCTCTTTGCTCGGAAATCCTTTTTGTACCAACCACTCACCTTAGGCACAATAACTTCACATCAACCTGAACCAAATGTCAGGAAGGAATGTAACTTTCCAACTTGTTTTGGAATGCAGCATGTTTAAATTATAGATCAATCTGATCCTCGTTATAGAAAATTATCACTTTTTTTTTAATGTAAATTTAAAAGAGGTATGGATTTTCCGATTTAGTTTAAATTTTGGACATATCGAAGGAAAGGAAACAGCTTATCAGAATAATATTAATATTTGCTTTGGATTTCTATTTTGAAAACTTTGACTTAGTGATCGATTATCGAATAGCTTTATGGGATTATATGGAAATAAAAATTTGACTTAGTGCTCAGGTATAATAAAGTTCTATAGTATTAAAATGAAAAATGTTCTAAATTAACTGAAATAATAACTTTCCTTTATTTAACATGCTTTTACAACCGCCAATCGCCTTGGCCTGCTTGCTGCTCAATTATAATAATTATAAATTTAAACCAAAAACTGAAATCGCCGTGATTTGGCAAATCATTAAGGAGCTGAGCTCTTTGCGAAACGTCGGAGAAAGGCTGACAATTGGGTAGTCGATGAGACAAATGCCGGAATTCACAGTCCATCTGGTATTCCAGATTATCAACAATATCAGGTCAATAGACCGGCTGCTGCATCACCAAGCATCGTGCCAGCGTATTCCGATGCTGGCAAGCATCGTGTCCAATTAAATCTGCATCAGGATCAACTAATTGAGAAATACTCAAAGCCTGGCGTTCAGGTGGTCAAATCCCCGTGGGAGGCGGCTTTACAAACCGGTTCGGCAAGCACCGCATTTTTGGATCAATCACAATACAGAAGCCCGACACCCATTGCCACCCAGCCATCACCTGTGCATTTCACTCAAGACTTTACCGATTCACCTTTGCCGGCCTCATATGTCAACCAATCGAACTATACTCAGGATTCGTATAAAAGTGTAGGTATCTAAAAATCTTATATAATCTTATATATACGTTATACGTATAAAGTTGTAGCACTTAAAGAAGGTATTATTCACTTAAATATTTGCTATATTTATATTTCCTCAAAAAATATATAATTTAGTATTCCTTCCTTACTAAAAACAATATAGAACTATAATCATAGAATCGAATCGACTAACTTAATTTAGCTTTCAATTTCTATTTAAACGCATTTCACTCTTTCACTTTTTTTAAATTTACAAACAACTAAAAGTAATCTCTCCTATATTCCAGTCGCTTGATTCTCAAGCCAAGAGTCAGCCGATTCAGCCCTCCAATCCACAAAGAGAACTGGCATATAAGCCAAGTGTTGCTCAAGGCTGGGGAGGTCGCAACGTCGAACTACCAAGAGGTAAAAAAAGATCTTTAAAAGTGTAAATGCTAAAAAAATATATTTTCTTAGATTCAAATGCCTAGGCTTTTAGTTGAAAAATTCTATTATTTTTCTAGAAACAAATTTGCTTTTATAGTCAATGTAAAATCTAAATATTTCAGAGTATTATTATCAAACCCAAGAACAACAGGAATTCATAAATCAGAATATTCAGGATCTAGGTACACAATATTATTACGGCAACGATCAGATACTTCTTGGTCCCGAGGCTTATGGAATGAATGCCCAATTTCATCATCCTGAATTTAATTTAAATGATGACATTCACAAGAGACTACTGCAGCTAGAACAATTTCAGCAAAGCTTTATGCAACAGCAAATGAAACAACTAAATCTGAAATCAAATTTCAATTTGCCTCTGGGTAAATGTAACAGAAATATGAGCGCACTCAATATAACGCCAACCAAACATCCAGAAGTTGAAGAACCTGTGGCCGGACAAGGGAGTAGTGCTGAAGAAGTTGGTGAATCAGTTAATGTACGGGAATTAATATTCTCATTCGAGCAGCAATCTCTAAGAGAACCTGACCCAATTCAAAAAGACCAACGCGAATTTCCAAATGATAAGAAACAATCGCAGTTCCAACGTTTGAATACGTCAAGAGATTCAATTAATCATATAATCGACGGAGCGACAAACAAAGGCATGGATGAAAAGTGTTCCCCGATTTGTGTCGTGCTGTTAAGATATATGTATAGCCCTGATCCTAAGATCATTATTTGTAATGATTAAAATTTAAAAACCATTGAACAGAAGTTGTTTTTTTCCTTGCTTCATATTCCAAAATTTCAGTTAGGCGTTGAGTACTTTTCTTATCGGATCACCTTTCTGCTATAACTCTAATTATTCGTTAATATGAAATATGACCGTACTTTTAAAATGTGTTTTGTATTTACATATATAAAATGAATGTTGAAAGGGTATGCATATTATATGTATATAATTAACTTATTTTTATTTCTCACCTCTCTTATAGGCTTGTACGTACCTAAGGAAATATCTTTGGCCAGCTATGCACCTCCGCCTGTCCTGTCAACACCTAACTTCCAGAGCTCACCAAAGCCAATCGACTATTCCTCAAAGGCATATGAACCACCACCATATAATAGCTTCCCCGTAGCGAATCAAAAATCTGGTCTTTACAATTCAGTGCCACCCAAACAGCAGCTATATAATCCAACTAGTTATCAAAAGGTGCTATCCGGCTCGCAGCAGTCGGGACCACAGGTCAACTTTAGTCCGTCCCCATTGTCTTTCGATAAGCTATCGAAGTTTCAGGAATCATCGGATCAGAGAAATCAACGGCTTCTCAATGTTAACAAACAGCCAGTCTATAGAGGTGTGCAAAATGTGTCTCCAACTCCTTTCCTGTCTGCTGGTACTGATGGCCGTGAGGGTCGATCGCCGATTTCATCGCCTACTTATGGATCGCATACGTCGCATAATGCTGGATCTCAAAAAATGATGAATGGTGGCAATCAAAGCTTTAACAACTGCGCTCGGGGCTGGAACAAAGGATCAAACAATATCCAGCAGAGTGCCTACTATCCAAAAACAGTGCCAGTTGCTGCAACAGAAAGTCTGCCATATTCTGACTTCTGAATATATCGATCTAATTAAATTTTGATTTCCGATTTCGATTTACGACATGCTCAACTGATTGTTAGCGCATATATACGAGATTAATATTTCTGTTCATTATTGGTTGATTGATTGCGTTTGTTTTTTAGCGTCTATTAAGCGATAATATATAATTATGAAAAACATTAAACTTTTCAATTAAACGTTTAAAAAATTAATTTGTCTAAATTCCATTTACCTTGGTTAATGTTAATATGCGCATATTATTATACCGATGTAGTTATGCTTACTCATGTAGGTAGTCGGTAAACTCATCAAGTCTGCTGTGGCAATGATTCCATCTTACCATATAAATTGTCAAAAAATCATATTTACTTATCTTAAAGAATATTTATTAGCTTCTTTCCTCATATGCCAAGTGTGAAGAATTTACTCTCATATGAAAGCTCAAAGGCTTACCCTTATATTGTCTGATTCGTGCATCAATACAGAACTTATCATTAGAATTCGTGTACTGGCTTAAAGAAAGAGCGCAACTGGTATGTCTGCTCTGTCAGTGCAGTCAAAGTGGAGTAGTACAGCCTATAAGGCTATTTGTCATTACCTTCCCGACATATATTTATCGTCCAAGTGTAAATATTCATATATGGGGTCTGTCACAAACATATGTACATCAATATTAATAAAACTATTACACATTTTCCCATTTTCAGTAGGTTCAGGCTATAAAAAACTACTGCTACAACTAAATCTACTACTGGAACAAGTACTTCCCTTATATTTGTAGTATGTATAGACATAGGTCTACTTCTATTTTTAAGTTTCATCTACATATACTATTGCTTTTACTATAATTTCTACTGCTATTACTAAAATTTCGACCATTATTCTTACAGTTTGTACTACTACTTAATTTCAGCAATTCAACTACTACAGCGATTGTACAGACTTCTTCTTTGTTGAGGCGTCTGGCAACACTTAGGGCTGCCATATCGCTTGAGCTTTATGGAGGAGACAACCCTTATCCAAGAATGCACCGTCCATCTTTGTTTTGGTGGTTGAATTAGGCAAAGCTGCGCAGTTGTCGCCAAAAGGGATTGTGAATACAAATCGCAAGATTAAATATATTGAATAAAATTTTTGCAATACAAATTTGAATCAATATTGTTGTTGTTCACATAAAATTGTTCTCAGTGTATAAATTTTAAAATTTAATGAACGGAAAGTTAAACAAAGAAATTTAAGGATTCTATATATATTATTGGAAAAGTTATAAATAAGAATTTCCATGTCTTCTAGAGAAGGTGGATAAGGTTTCAGCTTGCAAAATAAGTAAGTTAGATAAGCAACATTATCCATCAGGGACGAGTTCAGCCCACTGCACTTGGCACCCAAATATCATGAGAAAGAGTAGTTGATTAAATTACTGATAAGTTTTGATTCGTTAAGGTGCACAGATTATATGCATACACACATACTGCTCATTATTTGATACTGTTATATTTGATTTTAATGATATTTCTGCAAATTCTCGGAACTGATATTTTTTTAAATACATATGTGGCTCTCCGAGTCAAACTGAATAACTTTAAGTGAATAAAATAAATAAAACAATAACAAAACGAGTAAGAAAGCTCTACTCGAGACTGCTCGACTACGAGATCCCCTGATATTTCAATAATTCTTCACTTATTTTCTGCTTACACAAGAAACAGCGCATAGACATACACATACGCACACACACGCTAGCTAGGCCTATTTCAGGATAGATCTAGCCTGAAAGTGGTTAAATTCTTTGAAAGTGATAATAAATCCATTGAAAATGACTATAGGATGGAATAGCCAGAATTGAGGCAGACTATGCAGAAGTCCTAGTCTTTAAGAGAACTAAAAGAACTAACTATAAAAATGAATAAAGCTAATTAGCATATCAACATTTAGGCTGATGTCAGAGTGGCCGATAAGTGATGCGATGCTATGAACGATAATTATCGCAGCGATCCACAAAGCGATGACATGATAGAGCTATGAAAGCTATACGCAAAGAGAGAAACATTGCGAGTATTCAAATTGTAGATATTGCGAGTGTTCACATTTTAATCTCAGAGTCATGAAAACAAGTAAGAAGGCTCTAGTCGAAACTGCTCGACTAGGAGATACCCTGAAACCTCCAAGCTGATATTATACTTATTCTGCACTTCTTTTATGAACACATGCATACACGCGCATCCACAAGCACGTATAATCACGCGCTCTGCTAACTGCGCAGTAAGCGCTGCAGTGTGGGCAATATTTGGAGAATTTATTGGTTGAATAATTTCTTTTGTAGACATACGATCTTAATGAAACTTTTAGAACGTAATTATATGGTAAAAATGCACAAGTTTCTAGTACTTGAAATGGGGCGAAGGGGGCGTGGTATCCAAAATCTGTAAATTACAAAATCTTTCTATCGATCAACTGTATATACACAGTAAATCTGAAGTCTCTAGGTCTAAAAGTGTTCAAATTAGGATGAAAAAACAAAATCAATTTTTCGATTATTCTCGATAAAAAAGTATAACGATATTTTGAGAGCTTTTCGTTTTCAAATTTTCAATGGGATCGGTGCATTCAATTTTCAGCTATTTTGACTTTCTATTAGAAATTCAGGAATCTTGGGATTTAGTACATGTGGATGTCAGGTTCAGATGTTAATATCATTAGCCCTTAGTCGCAATCAAAAGATACTAATGTGATTACAGGGTCTCAATAGAGCTCAGGTATATTAAATGACATTTAGCTGAATTATGCCGAATTGAATTAAAAACTATGTACGTATAAAAACTTTATATATGTATTTCTTGCCTTTGATCTCGCAGCTACTCAAAGGCCCATCTTACAGAGCTTAGACATTTTGATGAAGCGTTACACGGAGGATGGCGACTTCAAATGGAAACAATTTGAATAAGTTCAAGCCGATTCTCTTTTTCATATTGCATTTAAATATTAGTATTCAGCGAATCAGCGCATCGTCATTTCTCATTATCAATGGTAATGGCGTCATGGTTTATCTCTTTATAAATGATCATCAAATTAATCATCCTTTATTGTCTAGACTTGGCCAATGTAAATCGACCTTATTTTGACGATATAAGCCCAAGGAATATTTCAGCGGTTGTCGATGAAACAGCAATCTTAAGATGCCGAGTCAAAAATAAAGGAAATCGAACTGTACGTAGTTTCATATATTGATTATAAATATAAAATTTATGCATTAAACTGAACTTTACAAACTTCGAATGCAGAATTTTAGATAATTTGATTTAATAATTTAATTTAATTTAATAATTCAATATAATATTAGATTGTATTAATTTGATAATTCACATAAAGGTTTCGTGGATGCGTAAGCGAGATCTTCACATTTTAACAACGAACATTTATACGTACACTGGAGATCAAAGGTTCTCCGTTATACATCCGCCAAATAGTGACGACTGGGACTTGAAAATTGATTATGCGCAAACTCGGGACAGTGGGATATATGAGTGTCAAGTAAATACTGAGCCTAAGATCAATTTGGCAATTACTTTGGAAGTCACAGGTAGGGTTAATGTTTATGCTGCTTATATTCATGACTATAATTCAATTCGATCGCAATTTCTCTTCCCCTCTCATTCTACAATCCAATTACAATTACAGCTGAATATGATATGAGAGATAGAAATTCAGATAAACTATACTATAACTCTAAAGGTTTGTATTTTTATAATAAACACACATATTTTTCTTTTACAAATTTTAATATAAGTGTAAAAATGATATAATAAGAACGATATATCAAAGACAATTTGGCTAGACATATACTAACAAGTAAGGCTTCACTCGAGACTGCTCAACTAGGAGATACCCTGAACCCTCCAAGCTGATAGTCGAATCATTCTGCACTTCTGCATCCCCACTTACGTATAAATAAGCACGCGCTCTGCTAACTGCGCAGTAAGCAGTGACTGCGCTTCGTCTGCGCTGCAGTATGTGCAATAATATGAGAATTTAATTGTAGTAAGACTATCTTTATGAAACTTTCAGAGCATGGTCATATGGTTAGAATGTGTGTACATTCCAAAGCACAAGTCTAGTACTTGAAATAAAAATTAGGGGCAAAGGGGGTGTGGTATCCAAAAGCTGTAAATTACAAAATGTTTGTATTCATCATATGCATATACACAATAAATCTGAAGTCTCCAGGTCTAAAAGTGTCTAAATTAGGCTGAAAAAACAAAATCAATTTTTCGGTAATTTTCGATAAAAAAGTTATCGGATGAGTTATCGACTCAGCTCGTCGCCCTGATCAAGAGTATGTATATGGGGTCTGCGATGCTTCCTTCTACCCTTTACATAGTTGTTCACAAAAATATTATACCCTGATTTCCCATTTTCAATAAGTTCAAATTAGCCTGCAAAACTAACAAAAATTTAAACCTGTACAAATCGACAAAATTTTGATTTATAAGCTATGTTAAAATGCTATAATGCTGTAAGAATACACCTAAAACTAGTTATAACATTTTGAGACTAGATATTATTTGTAAATATAATTTCATATCTTATAGCTGAAATGATTTTAATCGATGACATTAAAACAGCAATATGTATTGATTTGATTTTATACTCTGAACCCATTTTCAATGGGAAACAAGTAAGAACGTTGCAGTCGGGCGTTACCGACTATGGAATACTCATACACCTCCTATCAGCAATTTATTAGTTAAGTTTCGCGTTAGAAAATGCAGTTTTTCCCGATTTTCCACGCCCCTATTCGGCGTAAACACCTCATTTTTGGCCAGTTCTTAGAACGAGCTAACGGTACCCTAACTGCAAAGTTTGAATGATTACCCTCAAAAGAGGCGTAAAAATTATTTTTGGGTTATCGATAGAGGAGGTTACTAGTAACTTAACTATCTAAGTTTGAAGCTTCTAGCTATTATACTTTAGGAGATATAAACTTTTGCGGTTTGCCACGCCCCCTGCGGGCGGACATATACCCGACCAAACTTTTTGGTCTTGTGTGGTCAGCTCGAGTATATATACAAAATTTGAGGTCTCTGGCATCAATAGTGTCTAGAATATAGCAGAATTAAAAAAATCACTATATCTTCAGGTCCGATTTGCCACTCCCCTAATGGGCGTAGACATGAGTGATATGCATTTTATACAATTTCGGATTTGTTAAAAT